ATCGTTTCAACCCGTTCAGAATCCCAACGCCACCGGCCAGAGTTTGTCCCTTACTCTGTCTTCGAGCCACGGCGGCGACCTGAATCTCCCGCCGGAACTGAATCTACAGAAGTACGATTTCGGTCCTTGCAGACCCGGATTCGGCCCGATTGAGTTCTCGAAGAGTACGGTTCCTTTAGGGCCCTTCACGGGCTACGCCTTTGTTTTGAAGGGATCGAGGTTTTTGAGGCCCGCCCAGCAGCTGCTGGAGGAGCTTTGCGATATGGGTCGGGTCGTTTGTTTGGATAAAATCGGTCCAGACCCGGGATTGCTGGATCCTCCGCCGCTGGATAACTTAACAGGGGTTGGGATTATGGATGATAGCAGCGATGGGGGCGAGCAGAAGAAGAAATCGAGGTTACTTTCTATGCTCGACGAGGTAATTAATTTTCTTCGCTGATTTGTGAATACCTATTTTTACTTGGGATGTGAAAAAATAAAATAAAATAAAATAAAATAAAATAAAAATTGCTCATCCAAGTGGTACTGTTCAATGTGCTGTGTGCCATTTTAATCTGTTATAAAGTTTGGTCATTGGTGGGTACTCTAAAAGGCCTAGCCTTTACTGTCTAGTACTAGCATGCAAGCTGTTTTCCTTGGTGATTAATTGAGCGAGAAAAGATATAAAGACAAAAGGAAAGCTATAAAACTTTGATCTCTAATTATTATGCGAGACGCGCTAACTAACCGTTAGACGAGTCGACCTGTAATAATTTTTATCATAAATGTATACTTATGAAATCTCGTACTTCTATTGATTTTTTTTTTTTGTGACTTATGACTTTTCAATTTGAAAATTATGCTCGAAAATATGTCATGGGGACACATATGTAATTCAATTTCTCGAGATGCTACAGTTCTGTTACGGAACTATTTTGTCGGGATTTGTAACCGTTAGATCATAATATAACCGTCGAGAATAATTGATCTAACGGTTACAAACCCCGACGGAATGGTTCCGTAACGAGACCGTAACATTTCCGTGCAATTTCTTGAAGTTTGAAATTCTGAATGGTACTAAGGAATATGTGCTATAGTAATAGGATTGGTCCATATTTTGTGGCAACATAAGTGAGGAGTTCTGAGTTTAAATAGTTTGCATCTTGCGTAAAGTTATATATTTTGGGAGAATCTGTTGAAAAGGTTTATTCTGCAGAAAATGTGTGCAGCTTGAATTAAATCAGAGCCTACACACACACACACACATATATATGCCTGCTGAAAAATATACTAAAGATGTACTTAATTGTTGGGTTTTCATGTTCTTTTTCCCCTTTCAAGTGGGAGAATGTGATTCTTTATGTTCCCACTTACTACTAAATGTTGTTAATATTTTTCATGGTTTAGGTTAATGACTCCTAAAGTTTGGTTCATTGCTAACTGAGTTTTGTTCAATGCAAATTTTCAGCATTTTTTTGCATCTGATTTTATTATTTAGAGAGCTAGCAATTGGAGATTGAATTAATTTGTGGCAAGTGAGTGTAATTTTATTTCTCATATCTTCCCTAATGAAAATGGTACATTACTTATGTGAATTAATGACTTCATTTCATTTTTCTACTAGTGCATCACTCTTTTTTGCATTGAGGATCATATATTCTCCCTAAAAAAATCTATCACCAAAAGGCAAAATTGCATTTTTAGTCTTGCCAGTTTAACGCCGTAGCATTTTTAGTCCCAAGATTTTAACTTTTTGTCTTTTGATACTGTAATTTAGTATTTTATTGCAATTTCGGTCTATTACAGGACTTAAATTGATAATAAAAAATTCATCCAAAAGATTTTTCATTAGCAATTTAAATCTTGTAATTTTAAATTTTGTGGCATTTCAGTCCGAAAGGATTGAAATTGCACTGAATGTTGAAATCATAGGACCAAATAGCAAAAATTTTTATATCTTAGGACTAAAAAAGTCACTGGATCAACCAACGACACTAAAATTGCAATTTTGCCTCATCAAAATATCCAAAAACACACAATTCTCTTCTATGGGGTTTACTCTTTTAACATTTCAACTTTTTGCTTGGGCTTTAATTATAATCTACTTTTCACCTTTTATTTAAAAAAACCCCACTTCCCTGATTTTGCATATGCTCAATTTTGTCATGAAGCTGTCATAAATGCTACTAACAACTCTAATATGAAATTTCATAATTATGGTAGTTCAATGTTTCTTGGTACTAAGATGTTCGTACCTGAAGGTAGCTAGCTTTTTATGCATGCTATAGTGATATTTGATATTTTTTTACATTTTAGTTGCCTATCATTTAATTGACTTGTCTAGTTGTCTTGTATGGATGCTGTAAGTACTCTCAAGGATAATATACACTCTTTGATTTCATTCCAAATCTCTTGGGTTCGAAACTATCGAACATTTTAGAATTTTGAGGCGTTTTTATCCATCATTTCTTGTCAAATTAAACACTATCGAACACACTTCTTTCAATAGGTTTACGCGTGGAGGTTGTGGCTATGTTTGGTAAACCTAGTTGATGAGCTAACTTATGGGCCTATAGCTGATAGTTTATGACTTATAACTGAAAAACTAATTTATTTGATGAAAATGTTTGGTAAAATTAATTGAAACAAAAAATTCAATCAACTTATTTGAAAAGCTACCTTAGGAAGCTTCAAAGATAAGCTCGGGCTTTTAAAAAAAGTTCGTCTATCAAATCAAAGCTTATTTGAATACATAAAGCTTATAAACTAGCCAAATAAACAATAAACTAGCTTATATGCTTACTATACACAACCTATGAAATTGGACAACAATTGTTCTCAAGAATTTAGATTCTATAGGAAATATATATATTTTTTTCTTTTAACTCAAGTGATTCACAAGATTTAGTTCAATGTTTATGATCCTTAATTCACTAGTTTAACTCAAGAATTCCATCACATTTTGCAACAAGATTTTCCTTTTTTCCCCTTTAGGTAGACTGGTAAACTTATCTCTCTCTCTCTCTCTCTCTCTCTCTCTCAATTTAAAGGTTTACAAGAGGTACAAGCAATATTACCAACAAATGCAAGCAGCCATAGCTGCATTCGAGTCAGTTGCCGGTTTAAGCAATGCAGCACCTTTTGCTAACCTAGCCTTAAAGTCAATGTCCAAACATTTCAAATGTCTGAAAAACGCCATAACCGATCAACTACAGTTCTCGTCAAAATCTCACGGCAAGACAAATTCCGACAGAAACGAAACTCAGAGGCTCGAAAGTTCCGGAAAGGGCTCTTACGGCCTGCAGAGGCCGTTTGGTGCCGGATTTATGGACCCGCCCGTGTGGCGCCCACAGAGAGGCCTTCCAGAACACGCTGTCACAGTTCTTCGTTCTTGGTTGTTCGAGCATTTTTTACATCCGTATGTATATTACTATTACTTTTATTTCATTGCATTTTTAGTTATTATGTTCGCTTATTGTTGTGTGGAATTAACTGATGAGGTGACTGACTGATTAATGCAGTTACCCGACAGATACCGACAAGGTAATGCTGGCGAAACAGACGGGCCTCTCTAGGAACCAGGTAAAATCGGGAAAAGTGGAACGATTAAAATTCTACGTTCGACATAATAATAAAAAGTTCCAATCAACAATATGCTTGATATATAAAATGAAATATGAGATACATGCAATTTCGAAAGATAAACTGTTTCTTACAAACTTAGACATTATAATATCAACACTTAATTAGCAGTTAGTCCCTTTAACTTTTAAAAGATCATATATTCCCGGATTCAGCATAGGCTATGGTTGATAAAGTTTAGTTGATAAGCTAGTTTATAACTTTTAAGTGAATTTCGAGCTTATAGCTAATAGCTTATAACTTATTGACTGAAAAGCTGAAATAAAACTTCAATGCACTTATTTGGAAAACTACTCAAAAAAACTTATGAGATTTTTACTAGAAACTAAACTTATTTGAATACACGAAGCTTAATTATAAGCTAATAAAAAATGCTATAAGCTTAACTTATATGCTTGCTTGCCAAACACATTAATCTTAATGTTTATATGTATACACCTTTTTTCAGCAGTTTTCCAAGCACAATCTTAATCTTTATATGTAGACATCCGTTTTTCGGCCAGTTTCTTTGTTCGTGATATTTCTGTAAACAACAACCGAAAATGGCGTAATTTTTTATTTTTTATTTTTTTTTGCAAAATTTCTCAAATTCTTGGAATAAGTCAGAACAATTGGAGAGTAACTTTACATAGATACAACAATGCTATTTGTTTTTATTGATTCGTAATCCCGAGAGACTTAACGTGCATGTGTTTACAAAACCAGGTTTCGAATTGGTTCATAAACGCAAGAGTGCGGCTATGGAAGCCGATGGTCGAGGAGATACACACGCTCGAGACACGTCAGCAAGCCCAAAACTCATCCGAACAATCTCCCAACAACAGCAGCAATCGACCGGTCGAACACGAGAATCGTTCCAAACGCAACCGAGAAGACAAAACTGAGACCCAACGACCAAACCATGGCCCGATAAAATCGCCTTACGACAATTTATTGTCTAATAATAATAAAAATTATAATAATAATAATAAAAGCAATAATCATCAGTTGCATGTTGGCATAGGCAGCTCAGGAGGGAACAGCGGGGTTTCCCTGACTTTGGGCCTTCACCAAAATGGGCCGGCCCTGCCGGATTCGTACCCGATCCATGCAGCCCGTCGGTTGGGACTCGACTCGCAGACCGGTGACGAGTACGTGGTGAGTGGGTTCACGGCACAAGATTCGAGGTTTAGAAGGGAGGTCATGGACGGGCAGCAGATTATGCATGATTTTGTTGGTTGAAATGGAAATTAATCAATATATTTTTCCATTTAACTTGGATTATTTTTATTTATGTATACTTAAAGAGGGAAGCTTGGATTGAATATTGTTAGAAGAGTTAATTGTAATTTTTATGTATATTTTGTTGGGTGAAGGAAAATGATTTTTCTTGGCGCTTTTAGGTTTAATATTATAAGAGAGCAATTATGTTTAAGTGATGAAATAATAATAATAATAATAATAATAATAATAATAATAATAATAATAATAATAAATTTATGATTCGTTATTTATCCACTCACATATATTTAATTACTCTATCACTCTCAATCGTTTATTTCTTACTTTTACGTCACGTCAGTTTTAATCATTATACTATAAACGTTGTTTAAATATAAACTCAAAATCCAGTTAATTCTCCATTCAATTAGTTTTTGATGGAGACGAGATCGCGATGGCATTCATGGACAAATATGATCGTTTACCATCCTTAGTTTGATTATTATTTTCCTATCTATTTTATTATGGTGATTTATTTCCTTTTC